CTGTGTTTCCCTTGATATAAGCAGGAAGCTGAAGCAATCATGCTGTCAATTAGGGCTTAAGTTAGACTTTTCAATGACTGGAGAGATTTGGCAAGGAAGGTGGGGAGGATCTGGAGAATGTGTTTGGGGAGGGGTGGGTTGCGTTTCCGTTGTTTTTTTCTCATGTGTCTTTACTGCCACCTTGTGGTTCCAGACGGCAGAAAGACCTCTGCCATCCCTTGCCAAGAGCGGTTTGTCTCTGGCTGTTCCAGTACAAGCTGAAGGTAGTGATGGGGAAATTAGCAGGAAAGGACTAGCAGTTTAATTTGCTCCCAGTGAACTCATGGAAATGTGATCCACCATCAGTGAAAGGCTCAACATTTCTGCTGCGTCTTCCATCACTGGTGAAAACGTTTATTTGAGCTCTGTTCTGTGAGGTAACCTGCGAGTTTAAAAATGCCTCTGCTTTAGTTGGTTTATAGGAACTGCAAGGAACAAGCAATAATCTATCATAATAAATATTTGCACTTGGTGACGAATGATGCTGGAAGAGTCGAGCTGAATCCCTAGCCAAAGAAACCCTGTATAGCACTTTGCAAATTAAAAATGCTGTGCGAGGTTTTAAACATTTCTTGTCATTGTAGAGTTTTTGGAGATGCCTTGTGGTAAGAATGAATTGCATGTTGACACTGTAGACAGAAACAGGGGGAGAGGGAAGCTGGCAGGAAGTTCATCAGCTCACATCACCTATAATTAGCTATTGTTGTTGTTGTTGTTTAGTCGTTTAGTCATGTCCGACCCTTCATGACCCCATGGACCAGAGCACGCCAGGCCCTCCTGTCTTCCACTGCCTCCCAGAGCTAGGTCAAAATTTGCTATATCCATATGGATATATCAATATGAAGATCTCCAGATCTTCTAAGGCAAAATGTAGTGATAGCATTTTCTATAATTTGGACTATTTTGATGTTGCAAGACCTCTTGTCCACCTGCTACATCTATATCTATAATAATAATTATAATATAATAATCTTAGAACTTCTGGGCTGGAATGGACATTGAGTCCAGCCCCTGTCAAGGAGGCACAGTAAGGAATTGAACTCCCGCCCTCTGGCTCCTGAGGCAGATGCTTAAACCACTGAGCTATCTGTTCGTAGATGATTGCTGGTATCATTTAAAGCTAATAAAGTGTGGACTACTGCCACTAGACTGCAGCAAATAAACACAACTTGGGTGGAAGAAAAAATATGTTTAGAGGTGGGGAGAACACATTTATGAAATCCTGAGCACCTTCGCCATGACTCTTTTCATTTCTTTGTGGCTTTTGATTAGTCAGGTAGTGGTGAAATTCCACTCTTCACACATAAATCCTGTCTTCCTAAAGGGTCACATTGTGCACTGTAGGCTTTTTCTGGTGGTCTCTGTGGGATAAGAGAACACTGGTGTTTAAACCCAACTGAAATGTGTAGCAGAAAACTGGAGCAGGTGCATAAGATGTCCTTGCCAGATCAAAAGAAGCTCAAGTCACAGAAAATGCTCCTCCTACTTTTTGCCTTGAAGACCTGAAGAGGCGAATGATTAGGCATTGTGATGGTTGCTGTTTTTAGGGTAAGGTCAGATCTATATCATAGAATATAAAATGCATTATGAAAAACAGGGCTTGGAAATGTCTTGAGGCAATGTTATCGGCTTGATCCTTGTTCTTCCTAATCTGATCTTCTAGATGCCTTGTTGCAGAAAGTCTGAATGGGTAAGTCTGTCTCCCGAGTTGATGTGCAGGAATTTTGCCCAGTTTTTAAACTGGAAAGAAAATATTTCCCCATCAGTTTCTATCATTACATATATAAATATTTATGCACTGTAAACGAAATGAACATTTCTCTCTAAAAGCACAATGTGTTTTTTATGCTGATCTCCCCATATTGGCAGAAAATAGGAAATACATGTAGATCATTAATCAGAATACAAAACAGAATAAGCAACTGACAGTAACATTCCTGTCCTAGAAAGTCTGTCTCTACAATGCGATAGGCCTGCAGAACTATTAATGGAATTTGCAGTGAAATATTGTCTTCTCTATGTAATGTGTATCAAACTGCTAAGCTCATGCTGGCCTAATAAACACCCTAATAGAATGCAAACATTGTATGGAGGGAAAGTGGAGAGTTGGAGCTGTAGGTATGCAAATGGAAGAAAGACTAGGATGTCTGGTTTCAGTCCAATCTCCAGTGACACATTGGGTCTCAGGATAGCTCTGTTCTCAATCAGAGGCCAGTTCTGGATATCCTCAATTTGATAACGTATTGATGCAATACTGGAAGGCTAGGGAAGAGAAACTAGACTAGGATATGGAGCTTGAATAGAGCATTAGTGGAGCAGCAATCCACTATCTTTCTGGCCTGGTGTCTTTTTGAAGTCAAGGTTGCTCAGAATAATGCCATCCTTCTTCCCAAGACATTACAGTCAAAGCTACAAGGGTTTTTGGAAAGCACGGGAGAGGATTTTCTCTTGCCTTCTGCAAAAATGATAAATTTTCAGATTTGCAAAACTGAGCATTCCTTCACCCCTCCCTTTTTGAGCTGTGGTTTTTGGCAGCTTTGAGCCTCCACTAGTGGACAGCTAGAAAGTACCACTGGAGCAATGCTGGCCATTGTACATGCAATTGTCACACATACCTATCAGAAGGACATGCAAAAGATTTATGAGCTATCTCATACAGTAACTCTACTCTTTTTTTCCATTGTAAGACAAAGAGAGGAAAGACAATTGGGCAATGGGAGACAAGGAAAGATCTAGAAATGATATAGAAGATTCATGGAGAGGACCTGGAATTTGAACAACACTACAACCATTTTCTCTGGTGGGAATGAGCTCAAGAAAGAAACCAAAGCCCTACAAATCCTGTCTAGATCTTGAGGCCAGGCCTTAAGGATTATTGAATGGCTCCCATGAGGAGGCTATCTTTTTATAGTTGATGAGTCCTTGACCAGGCTCTTTAAGCTCTGATAATTTACAGACGGAGATTTTTTTTTCCCCTCTTTCTCTCCATCCGTTGTCAGAGAGTGGAGGCTGAGACAAAAGAGGTTCCATTTCTGGTAAATCTCCCAGTGCTTGGGGACGACATGCAGAATAGGCAGCCAAATCGCTTAGCAGCCTGATCATAAACCTTATTGTGAGAGTCCAAAAATATGTTAACACCAGTGGTACTATTGTCAGGCCACATTGCCTCAATTGTTCAGAGTACATGGAGGTGAGGGATCACAATCTCTGGCTTTGGTGAGCAACTGTCACGCTCCAGATATTTTTGGCTCCCAACTGCCATCAGTATTAATTGACACAGCCAGTGGTGAGGGGTTGTCAAAGTTGAGTTTCAGTCCAGAAACCGCTGGTGGACCACAGATTGCCCACCCTTGTCTGTCTGGATGCCCTTCCAGTCTTTTCAGTGTGGTAACAGGCATTTTCTTTCATGGGGATTCCTTCTCTCCATTGAATGGAATTGGGATCCGTAAGCACGCAAGAGATCCATGCGTGCCTCTGAACACAGATGGATTTCTTGATTGGAGTACAAATGTTAACATTAGGTTGCCAGGTGCAAGTGTTAAATGGAATTTCAAACTGAAACATGGTGAGAAAAAATGCTTTCACCAAATTGAGAGCTCGTTTTAATTAAGCTCTTAGCCATTATGTTCTCACATTTGACAACCACTGAAGTAATAATTAGCACTCTTGATTTTTTTTCCCCTCCGTCAAAAAAATAACAATTTGAAAACAATTATGTGAAAGCAGTCCTTTGGGAGAGAGGCTTTCATTGTCAATAATGTACATAGCATTCTCCCTCCCCCCCCCCAGATTTCACTACATTGAAAAAAAAGCCCTGAAGAATTCTCAACAACTCATTGAATGTTCTTTGTGTTTATTTTACAAATTCCCTCAACCTTGTATTCCTCTTTATCTTTGAAGCCCAATACCAGAGCATACATTAATAACATCGTTCACGAATTGTGATAAGTCTATCTTGGTGTAATCTTGATGCTCAGAGGTATAGCCCTTCATTTTGAATTCCATTCCTGTTTTCCCCTGTAGACCAAGAAAAGGAAAATGTCTGTCTGGAGAGTTCACTATCAAACAATGCTGATGTTACTTGTTCAGCAATCATCTACACAAGGGAAAGTGTATGTCACCCACAGTTAGCACGTATCGCTTATCAGTTACTCCATACACATGTAAAAATCTTTTTCCTGCTCTCACTGTCCTTTCTATATAAATTCCAAATGCTCTACATACAACATTGGGCAGCGTAAAAAAGAGAGAGAGAAGGTAGATATTTGGTCTGCTTTTGAAAGCTGATCCAAATGCTAATCCTGGCTAGAGCTGACCCGTTTAATCAATGGGACTTACATACATTTTCCAGTACCACCCAGCAAGTGATTCAATGGGTCTGTTATGACTGGGACTATCAGTTGGATTTAGGTTTATAGGAGATGCTTGCCTCTTGTATTGCTCCAAGATAGTCTAGTTCCTCTTCTTATTTATCCCCTTGCATTTGCCTGTGGGAACATGTGGGGCTGGTGAGGAGTGTACAAGGCAATTAAGTTCATAGTGGCCATATGCATAGACCCCAAGTGCCATCCGTCCATACAAATAAGTCTGCTCCACATGAACCAGGATAGTCTTCTTAAACAAATCTTATGCCAGAAATACATTTTCATTGCACTCCTTGTTGCCTTTATGAACAATAATGAGTTCTTGTGTTTTCTTCCAGCTACATGTTGCCGTTTGACAATCCTGAAGGTTATTGCCTAATTGAAATGATGACAGATGAAAATGTTCCCTTACGCCGAGGAACCCATCTGCCACATCAGCTGACCCAGGTGAACTTGCAAAGTGGCTTAAGTCAAGTCAATATTTTCCTATGAGAGTGGTTCTTAAGTCAAAATGTTCTTATCTCGAGCCGTTCTTAAGTCAAGATCCCACTGTACACTCCTTGTTGAACAATAATGAGTTCTTGTGTTTTCTTCCAGCTACATGTTGCCGTTTGACAATCCTGAAGGTTATTGCCTAATTGAAATGATGACAGATGAAAATGTTCCCTTACGCCGAGGAACCCATCTGCCACATCAGCTGACCCAGGTGAACTTGCAAAGTGGCCCCCAAACTCGATCTGCATAGTTTTTTAAAAAGTTGCTCTCATAAAGCACCAGTTGATAGTAGATTTAGTACTTCCATATTTTTAATTGGTCAAGGCACAGCTATCAATTGTTGTGATGGCGTTCCTTCAGATCCTATCTGTCCTATTGAAATGAACGATAATATTCTTCTATAACTTCTGTAAACTTCCATGGTACTTAAATGGAGATCTTTCTGGTGTATGTCTTTACATTTAGCATATTATGCTATTGTTCAACCCATATAATTTTTAAATTGGAACACGTGTCTGAAGCAGACAAGCCTACAATATAGTTAAACCATTACATGTGAAACAAAGCTAAGCGGCTGATCTGTAAAACAAGTACCTTTACTCCTTTTCCTGGATTTCTTTCAGGAACGCATCCTACAAAGACAATTCAACTGATTCGTGATTTTTTTAAAATCCATTTTAGGTCACCTTTGGACCAATATTCCTTGGTAATGTACCTCATCATGTTAAGATTCATCCAAGCTCTGGACCAGTTTCTAGCTTCCAAGGTTGCATTAGGGAGTTCCAAGTAAACAACAAAGAATTGTTCATCATAGATGAGGCCTTAGGAGGAAGGAACATTGAGAACTGCAACGTCCCCGTTTGTGATAATCTCCCATGCCGCAATGGAGGGACCTGCACTAGGTATGTGCTGGCTGTTTGTTCTCCTTGCAAAAACTTCCTTCCTTCCCTGATTGGTTTCCTTCATAAAGTCATTGAATGTAGGGTGTTTATTTGTTTATCCATTTAATTGCCTTCTTGATTGCTTGGTTGCCACATGTATCAGCTGTCGTGTAACAAAATCACATCCATTCTCTTTGAATTTTTGCCGCCTTTGATTCACAATGTGGGAGCTACTCCTCTAACTCTAAGAAATAATTTTTCAGGGAGTTTATCTATTTTTTAAAAAGCATTTCAACCTTCAGCCAAAACAAGGACCCCTCCACAGTAGCTTGCGCAAGATCAATAAGAAACAAAGAAACCTACAGACGTGCAATATCAAAAAGACATGATACAAAACGGAAGGAAGGGAAGGAAGAAGAAAGAAGCATAGATCATTGTTCTTTGTTCATATAATGATTGAAAACAGCAAGGAAGAAGAGCCAACAATATGGCTGAGCCTAGGAAGTGGTCTCGCTTCCCATTCCTCTCTCTGCAGCAGTGAAGTGATTTCTACCAAGTGATGGGCGATGGAGAGCAGAGCCCAGCAGAGCAGAGCTGGACTCTCAGCAGAACGAATTGAATGGATCGGCTTCTCAGTGTTCTCTCCACTGTCGCCAGCCAGATTGAATAAGAAGCAACGTATTTATTTTCATTTTTAAAAAAGAAACCGTCAGTCTGAGCCTTTTAAAGTTACACATACAAAGGTTTTACTCATTCCCAAAGGAGTTGCAAGGCAGGGAGTTCACTAAGATGCTTCTTCTTTTATTGAGCAAGATCTGTTCTTTTATTCATATACACAATACTATAGCCACTTCATGTGAGATTAGGGTTAATCCCAGTCCATGTGATGCCAATGGGAATTGTTCAGTGCAACAGTTAAGAGCAACTTAGGTGAATTCAAATACAATCTACTTGTCTTACATTTTATATATATTGCAAATCCCAAAGAGAAAACACATTTAAAATAATTGAGGGGCTCTAAGGATTTTGGTATGTCAATTTATGGTATGTGTTGATTTATTCAAACACAAGCATACTCACAGAGAGCTGTATTTGACTGCACTTCCCAAACTGAAATACTCGTAGTCCACAGCCATCTGAAATGCTGACAATATTTTAGCCAGAATTGGCTAAACAGACTTTTAAAATATTCTTCTCTTCATTACGTGGTGATGCTGGGACATCAGAAAATCTTCATTGAGATTTCATCTCTGAAAAACCACAGGCCATTAAATAAGCAATTAAACCCACAAACTAGAACTCATGTCTCCATTCCATCGTTTATGATAAAACTATTGGGAGAGAAAGCATAGTTCTGAAAAGCTCTAATATTTTGCTTCACGGCGAGCAGAGAGCAGAAGACTAAGCCTCTTAACGGTGACACAGAACCATACTGTCTCTGAAGACATAAAGCTGAAGTGTTAACCTTCTTTCCAAGTTGCCTTTAAAGTTGTTGTTGTTTAGTCATTTAGTTGTGCCTGACTCTTTGTGACCCCATGGACCAGAACACGGCAGGCCCTCCTGTCTTCCACTGCCTCCCGGAGTTGGGTCAAATTCATGTTGGTAGCTTTGATGACACTGTCCAGACATCTCATCCTTTAAGGTACAGCAAGACAATTCTATTCATAGCCACCTTCTCCATACTGGAAGTCAAATTATATACTTATACACACGACAACAGAGATAAAGGTTAATTATGTGTGTTGTGGGACATCCATGTGCATTATGGTTCTGACCTGTATTGTCCCCACACAATTATTTCTGGATAAATGAAAAAGCAAAGTGTACTGCTTATATACCGCCCCATAGCACTTCAAGCACTCTCTGGGCGGTTTACAAGTTAATTATGCAGGCTACACATTGCCGCCCCCCCCCCCGCGAGCTGGGTACTCATTTTACCGACCTCGGAAGGATAGAAGGCGGAGTCAACCTTGAGCCGGCTACCTGGGATTGAACCCCAGGCCGTGAGCACAGTTTTGGCTGCAGTACAGCAGTTTAACCACTGCACCATGAAGCCTTTTGTTGAATTTGACCCAACTCCGGGAGGCAGTGGAAGACAGGAGGGCCTGGCGTGCTCTGGTCCATGGTTTCACGAAGACTCGGACATGACTAAACAACAACAACAAAATGAAAAAAGGAAGAAGAAAGGCAGCTGCTAGGTAATTAATAGGTAGATTTGCCCTTGGTTCATGTAAATAAATAAAATAAATAAATAAACTGCTAGGTATTTAATAGGTAGATTCGCCCTTGGTTCATTTCAGTGCTCATATCTGATGGAAAGAAACAACCCTAGAACAACTATATATTAAGAGTATGAGAAAGCACGAGGCTTCACCCGTTTTTCTCGACAATAATATTGGGCTACTAATTGGTGAGGCAGCCTACTGGTGTCAGCAAAATAGGCATGTAGCTGATAACCACCAGCTGTGCTGGCTGGGGTTGCAGGGAGTTGCGGTCCAAGAACACATGGGTTGCCCAAGGTTGGGAATCACTGGCTTCGTAAACGCAAATCAGCTGTGTTTTGTTTAGCACTTTCAGTGAACATTCTACCAGGATTTCTAAGACCAAATAGTTTCCTCATCTAAATTTTCAAAGGGGAAATCTGTTCCACATCTGGGATAATCTGAAATTTTAGCCTTGTCAGTCAGGAGCCAGTTAACTAATGTGCTATTATTAACCGCTGTGCTCAGATTTTGCAAATCAACATCTCATATTAGAATGTTCTCTCTTCTTATTGCCACCCTCCCTTCCTAGCACTATTGTGTTTGCCAGTAAATTCTTTCCCTCGGGTCTTGCAAATAGCAACTGTGGATCTCTTTCTTGAATCAACCCATCTCACATTAGCACTTCCTCTTTTCCTACTCCCTCCCACCACTATTTTCAGCAATATTGGTTTTTTCCTGACAGTTCTCGTTATATGTACAAGGATAGGAGAGTCTCAATGTACACATTTTTGCTCTAGTGAGAGTTCAGACTTGACTTGATTGAGCACCCACTTTTTTTACTGTATAGCAGACTGTTACCTTGTTACGCCTAATAACAGTGAGAAGGATGAGGGGAAGAAAAAGTTTGTCAAATATGGCGTGGAACAGTTGTTAGAGAAATGGAAAAGCAATCTAAGACCTAAGTACAATACAGAAATGTAGGTCTCAAGAACAGAGTTGGTCACACAAGGGGAAGAAGCATTACAATCCAAGGAATATCAGTAAGGAAATGGACAGTACTTTAAAGTTTGACCTGATTCCAGGTACTCTGTGTGGACTGAAGGTATACCATATCAGCTGAGGCAATCAAATTTATTTTGACAACCTCAACTGACAGAGCTCTTTCAAGAAAGATAATCCTGCAATAAACCAGACTTTCACCTGAGTTTGGCAGTAATTAAACTGAATCATGGATGTTGTGAAAACAGCTCATAAAATTACTAAACCAATGTTTGTGTTAAGACCACAGTGTTAGTGGTTGATGAATAGATTGATATCTGGCTGCTTAAAGGCTCATCAAAATGTAAACATGCAAGAGCTTAATTTTTGTAGTGCTGAGTACAACTAGGAAGTTAATTACATCCATACATGAATGTGCTTCTAGTGTCCTAAACAATTCTCACAGTAATTATTCTTATTGTTGCTTTGCATCTATTGGAGCAGCAGATGGCTCCATTAATGTTAATCAATGAATCAAGACTGAGAAATCAAACTGAATTAACAATGAATTTCAATGCAGAGTAGATTATCATCAGATTTTAGACTCTTAGAATAACATAGTTCTCAAAATCTTCAAGAAGAAAGATTTCCCAAGGATAAACTAGTGGCGTTTCAAGTACAGTCTTCATAAGAAACTAGCACTACTTTTCAGACAAGAAAGAAGATAATAATATAGCTATCTGTTAAGACTAGAGTTAATGATGATATAGGTACCCATTTTCCGCACAGTTGAAACATATTCAGTACTTCAAGTCATTTTATATTGAGAGTCATTCCAGAGGATCAATTTATTGCATAACAAATCTGTGGAATCTTCAAGGAAACTCTTTCTTTTTGATAATGTATTGGTCATTTGCAGAAATTGCTGTTACTATAGATTTCTCTCTCTCTCCATATCTTTCATATTTGTAAATACGGGCATGTTACAAAAATGCCTCAAGTCTCCAATACTTTCTCCTTCCAAGAGAAAACTGACCTTGTAGCGGCTGCTCCAAGAACTTCTCACTGTTCAGGGCAGTCAATGTGTCAAGCAGTAATTTTTCCAGCATTCAAATCACAATTTGTGATGGACAAACCCCAGCGAACTTGACATGAAATGTCTTTGGCTTCAACAGATTTGATTTGAA